ACCTTCCAATTAATTAATTTTGCATATTAAAATGAATTTAAAATTAATTTGTAAATACAAGAGGCTATTTAAGTAATTTATATGATGGGTACCCTTTCAAATAGGGTTGATACATAACATTTGTAAATTCTATACCTTCCATCATTTTATGTAATTAGGATATTTAAATAGTTCATCAATGTACTAATCCCTTCATACAAACAAACGATTACTTCATAAAACAGTTAACAAAAATAATCACTAATCAAATTAACGAACGAAATAATATTTTAAAGATGTAATTGACAGTTACTTATATATTTATAATTATATTCATCCACTGTGATTAACAGATTAAATAGAATCATAATTATTTAAATTTTAATTGGTGTCCATTTACGTTACCATGTTGGTAAATATAGTAACATTATTATGATTTTACAAATATGACAATTTAAAAAAAAAAGTTTTTTTAGGTGACTAATTTAGACTTTTTTACGTAATTCCTTTTTTACTCTCCTATATCATTTATAGACGTTTTCATTGATAGATGCTGATAAGTTATAAATGTCTATCTTTGATAGATTGATAATCGTAAATTAGTGACAAATGTTTATTTCGACTGCATTTGTTTGTTTGTTTTTTTTGTTAGTTGTTATATCTGCAATTGTTTTGCCATATATGCAAGCACACTATTTAAAAGTTCATAAAAAAGTCAAAAACCTTACTTTAAAAATTTGTAGGAAGGTCATGTAACACACTTTTTTTTAGTTAGACAGTAGAGGAGCGAATCGTAATAGATACTTTATCTATTTCACCTATGCTTAGATCGAGTTTTCCACGAGATGAATATTTTTTGAGTCTCCAAATTTATATAAATATTTAAAATTTACCTATGGAATGAAAAACGTTGGGTGGTTGTGTTTTAGCTAGTTTGATGGGAAATAGGTGAAAATTTAGTTAGATAATTAAATAAAAGTGTGAGCGACCGACGGGCACCTCAGCGGGAGAAAAAACATGGGAACGTGAAGGAGATCCGACAAGATAGAGCGGCAACAGGCAATTCAATGCTACCCCTCATCTTCTTGTCTCAAAACCCACTCCATTGTCTTTTTTTTTTTTTTTTTTTTTTTTAAAAAGAAACAACTACTTTCAAATTTCTCCAAACCCCTGTATTTATAAATCTCTTTCAATTTCTTCAACACAACTACATATATGGTGTTTGAAAATTTTAAATAATGCACACTAACATAAGAGTTATATCTTCTTAACGTGTTTTGTTATATCTTGAAATGTCAGGTTCAAACATTTAGAGTGGTTATGAATTGATTTTGTAAATAGATGAAGATAGAAGGATTGGAAAATGTATAAAGTTTGTGCTTGGAGCTGATCGGGTTGCTCCAAGTTCAAATTGAAATATATATATACATAAATGTTAGTTTGAGCGAAGTTTGGATCAAAGTTAAAAAACAAGAGAATTGTATGTGCTTTATAGCTCATGTACTTTCATGCAGTGAGGTAGATGCATTCATGTCTACGCTATAACATGACAAAAACTAGCTTGCATTGCTTGAAAAGATGTAACTTTATAGTTCGGTTGTACCTTTGTTCGGTGTCAAATGTGATGTTGCGTACCGAATCGTGTATTATGTCTTATGCGCTACGCTCATGTCTCCTTTTATAATTTGAAGACCTTGTATCAATAATATGAATCATGGTGAGAGAGGGCAATTTTAAGGTTCTAGGTTATGTGGGCTTGTGAGAAGATCAAATGACTTAACCATGACTTAACCATGTTTATAAGATAACAACTTATTCGTCTTATTGTCCATTAATTTTAAGATGAACCAGATTATGTAAAATTTATAAGAGTTTTAGAAAGTAACACAGAGAGGAAAATGAATCATTTGAGGGGTTTCTTTTGAATCTTTTTATTTTATTTTATTTTTAATATTTAAGAAAATTTTAATCAAATTCAAATGCAAGTCTATTTCGTTTTCCTTTTTGCTATTTCCAAGCTAGTTAATTAGTATACATATCTTTCAATTTAATGTTCAGACAAGAACAATGATGACTAACGATAAATTAATTTTTTAAAAAAGGGAGAAAATTAAAATCCAGTAGAGAAAACAAACTAATTACGCGCTAATTAATTAATTACACTTGTTTAATCCTTGCACATGGAAAGATAATTGCTTTGTTTTTAAATGAACTCCATGTGGAGAGCACCTAAGCAAGTAGACGACATACTAATCAAAAGATTCTCACGTCAAATACACCAATTATTTGCAAATTAATCTTTTTAATCACATTCCCAATAAAAATTAATATTATGAATAATCCACTAATGTTATTTGTAGTTTTGCTTTCTTAAGCTTCATAATCAAACCCAAATTATTCTAAGCATTTTTAGGACCCAAATCGAAAAAAAAAATGAGTTCAATATTATCTAAACTTATATTATATTTTTTTAATTCAATAATATTTAATTCAACAATATGTGGAAGTAGGTATTTGAACCTCTGACACTTTAATCAATAATATATACCTTGACCAGTTGAACTATACTATATTCATTCAATGTAATACAAATATGAGTTTATTATATAGTTTGAAGTATAGTTTGATTATTAATATGAATATCCACAAAGGTAGATGAAACAAGGAAATTGCTTCCCAAAGGCAAAACACAAGCTCAAAGGGGGAATTATTTATATAAACAAGCCATGTGAGTGCCAACTAATTTTTGTTTAATAATTTGATATATGGATATATGTCCTTAGCAATAATACAAAGATTAATACTTCATTTCTATCCATTGGTGGTAATGTGTGTTGTCAAATCTCCATCATTTTCATTTTATCTCTTATATTCCAATTTTGTTTTTTAAATAATTTCTTTACATAATAATTTAAGTCTTATTTTTGGGCTAGGGACATTCTTAATTATGTAAAATGTTATGTTTTGATTGAACTTAAACAGTGAAATTTTGTTTACAGATCTTATTGTTTAAATTTCTTTGTTGCATTATTACTAAAAAATTGTACATCACATAGAGACTTGTATTATAAATTCGGTTCATCAATTTTGAAAACAAATAGGTTATAATTAATCATGTTTATTACAATATGAAAACTTAGTGGAGATGAATATATGGAACTTCAAAAAATGAAACTAGAATATTGTTTGAAAATATAATGAAGAATATGTAGTAAAATGAATAGTTAGCTAGATCGGTTTGATAACAATTTTCACTATTCCCACCTGTGTATCCACTTGTCTTCTTATCAACATTAATTTTTTTAAAATACAAGAAAAATTTTGAAAATCAAAAGGAGTAGTTTTCAAAAAAATATTTTTATTTTTAAAATTAACTAAAATTTCAAATGTAAACGAAGAAAAGTGAAAACTATAACGAACCGTGACAAAACAAATATACTTGGTAAATTTTAAAATAGGATTCAAACCAAGAAAGAATTAAAAAAAGAAAACTAAACAAGAAACATAAAATTGACGTCGTTTGTGTGTATTTTTTTTTTTTCCTTTTTAATGAAATTTGACCCTATTCGTTTCTTACAATTTTTTTTAGATGATTATTTTAGGTAAATAATGATTGGACTTATTATTATCTTTTTTTTTTTTAAGAATAACCAGTAAGGCTACCCAGCATGGTTGTCACACCCAATATTCCTTAATTGCTGATTTAATGGATAATAGGGTTAATGAAATGCTTTGACCGGCGTTTTAATCGATGCAATTAAATTTTCCAATAAATTAAATTAATTGGATTTACTAATCACAATCACAAGAAGTTGACATTTTATTTTATTTTCTCCCATTTCTCTTCTCTTTATGACCTTATACATATTTTCCTCAGGGTTGGGATTTGGGAAGGAAGAGAATTTTTTATTCTTTTCTAAAATGGACAGTGACTTATTGATTATTTTAGAGCTATCTCTGTCCAAACGAACATAGCTCCGCAGTAATTGATATATATATTCAATCAAGAGATTGTAAGTTCGATTATCTACTTCACATATTGGATAAAAAATTAATATTTTTGAAAAAAAATAATAGAGATAAGATTGTCTTTATTTGGGAAGAGAATATACATTTATCCAAATCTAAAGTCGAATTTGATAAAATTGAACGTTAAAAATATTTTGGACCATTTTGTCAAATTTAGAAGTGAGAGTTGAATTTGTCAAAAACAAAAAAGGGGTAAAAATCATCTTGAATTTCATAGATTTAAGACGAAAAAGGAAAAGAAAAGAAAGAACTATTGTGTTTAATTTTAATTATAACAAATTATGAAAAAATGAATCTCAAAATCTCAATTAATTAATTCAATTTAACGCAAAAAAGAGAGTAAAAACACATATAACTGCGAATAATTGATTATTTTTACACTTATAAAATTATGATACGTAGTTGTGATGGGCAGCTTCATTGCACATGACTCCTTAGAGTATTTTACAAGAGTGGCCATGTTCCTTGAAGCTTCACCCTCGACCCTTCTCTTCATTTTCCTAATTATGTTGAAAAAAAGACGTAAGTAAAATTGGCAAGTTTAACTCAACAATATCTACGAACTTATAGATTTAAATCTCTATTTACCCACTAGTAAATTGCATATGAAGTAATATATATAACAAAAAAAGGTTGAATTCGCTTTCTAAATTTTGCATAAAATATTGTATTTAAAACTAAAACAAAATGTTTTAGAGATCAAAATAAACAAAATAAAATTTAAATCTTATTTTAGTCCCTAACTCTAATGTTGATCTCTAAATTTTTTAAATGGATGTCTAATTTTGTTTTTAACTTTTAAAAAACAAATATTTTGGTCTCTAAATTTTCAAAATGTCTATTTTACCTTTAAAAAGTGGCAGTCAATAATATCTCAAATACTTATGTGAATACTTACATGCCCACGTAAACATATATTTGAAGTCTATTAAAGAAAAAACAAGGACAACATCTAAGAATTATTTTTTCAAATTTACGAAGTAAAATAGATATTTTGAAAATAAAATCTTAAACTTGGATAAACATAAAGATGAGAGGAACTAAAATGAACCATTTTGAAAATGTACATATTAAAATATAAAAGTCTGAAAAGTTGGTTACATTCAAACTTAAAAATTAAATATAAATTCAATGGTTCTTTTGTCTAATACAACAAAAATTCAATAGTTGAGGGTGGTACAGTGCAACATATCTCACTTTAATAGAAATTTAAGATTGTCTCAAAAAAAGGAAAA